CTAGTGATGACAATGATGACAAAGAAGTTGACTCAGAACTTGGAGAATTAGAACAAGACTCTCAAAATCAAGGGGGAAACGGCGGATTTTTGGTATTCAGAATCCCTGAAAATCCGATGAAAATCCCTGGAGTACAATGGGAATCCCGGGAATACAATGAAAATCGAGTCTATGGGCTTTTTTATTTCAAACTGAATTCTAAAATCAAAAAAACCACACCAATTTCTTCCGAATCAAACTTTTCTCGCTTGATACTACGTAGTCTCACTAAAAACCCTTAGTCCCCCCCAGTCCTGCAAAGTCCCCCTTAGTCCCCCCCACAAAAAGCTTAGTCCCCGCTTAGTCCCCTGTGCAGGGAACTAAAGCATATAGTTCACAAAACCACAAGCACACCCTCACCCTCACTCGCGCGCCCACACCCGCACCATGGGTGTGGGTGTGTGTGTGGGTCCCAGACCAACACCCACACCCTCAGTCACCCCCTCCCCCTCACTCCTAGACTCACGTTTCAGTTTGAAATGAAGTATTATTTTTATTTGATAAATTCAGACTGAAATTAAATAGCCCATTGTATGTGAAAATCCCAGGAGTACATTGGGAATCCTGGGAGTACGATATATTTTATAGTGGTATCCATAAATCTTCAAGAGGTTTTTAGTGGAAATACTCGTAAGTCTTCATGGTCCCTCTTATGGAGCATCTATAAGTTGTCAAGGGCTATCTTATTAAGGTAGTCATGAGTCCTCCAGAGCAGTCTTATGGAATACTTATAAACCTTAATGGCCTATCCCATGGGATGTCCATAAGTGATCAAGGGCCAACTTATGAAAGTACTTATATGTCGTCATCACCTATCCAATTAGGAGCACAAAAGTCTTCAAGGGCTATCATATTGAGATGTTCATAAGTCTTTACAACTTATCCTTTGAGGCACTCACGAGTCATCATCACTTATCCCGTTTAAGTATCTATAAATTCCCATAAGCTCTCCCATGGAGATACTCATAAGTCGTCATGGGCTATGCTATAGTGCATATATAAATCGTCAATAGCTGTTCTTTGAGAGTGTTCCCAAGTCATCATAGCCTACTCTTTTAAAGGATACATAAGCCCTCAAAAGGTACCCTATGGGACTAATGATATTTCCTTAAAAGCTGTCTCCCAGAGTCGTTATAAATAGATATGTGACAGCACCAGTTCTATCCTCTGAGCTGATGCTGGATGGTCAGCTCTCGTTCGCATAAGTCGAGGCTTTCCAATAGATATCTGATTTGAGTCTCACAAGGTGTAGAGCTAAGGCTCTCATGTGCCCAATACAGAACGAATTTCTGTTTAAAAAGGAACTCAAAGTTGATCCAAGTTTGGCGGACGAAATTCCCTCGATATAATTCTTATTGCGAAGGAAAATGACTCCATCATGTAACACAATTATGTTGGTCTAAACAATAGTCTACTTTTCTTCTTACAATATAAGAGTTCGTATCGATAAATGAATTGATTGTTCTTATTCGGATAAAACATAAGTTGTCACCAACAAAATAACAAATTCAAAGAGACCTGTCTGCATTCCGTGTTTTTTGAACTCCTGATGAACTCTGAATCCAAAAACCAATAACAAGGAGAAAAGCATAACAAATCTACGGCACTCAAGGAATCCACGGAATCCAAGAAACTCGAGAAAATCCATAGTATCCAAGGACTGAAGAATTAAGAAATCAAAGAGACACAAACAGTTATCTTGTTTTTTTAGTGAGATTCTCGATGGTACAAGGATTTGATATGGAGCAAAGTGTGAAGAATACTATAAGGCATTATATGATCCTGATATGATGCTGCTCTTCTGTAGATGGTATTGTTGGCGATCGGACAATCCGTCGCAAACACTATGTGGAGAACACATTATCGCATGGACATTGAGTCGCAAGATAATTAGTCGTCAACAATCAGTCGTGTAATAAAAAGAACAAATAATATGTGCAAAAATATTCTCTTCCATTGCGATGAACTGTTGACGACTAATTGTCACGCGACTAAATCTCCATGCGGCGATATGTCCACGACGAATTCTTCCGCCACCAACAATATCACCTACAAGAGAGCAACAACATATGAAATATCATATAACCTCGTATAGTATTCCCCACATTTTATACAATATCAAGCTCTTACACTGCCGAGAATTTAACTAAGGAAACAAGATAACTGTTTATACCTCTCCGTTTCCGTAAATTCTTCGGCCCTTGGATACTATAGATTGTCCTGAGTTTCGTGAAATCCTTGGATTCCGCGACTTTCTTACGTTCCGTGGATTCTGTGATTCCCTTGACTTCTGTGAACTCATTGGATATATCACTGTTCTACAGTTCGTTACCTATTATGCTTCACTAAAGGGCTCTTCTCTTTCTTATAATTCGTTCTTAGATTCAGAGTTCCTCGAGAGTTCAGCAATCACGGTACTCGGACACTGCTGTAAAAATCAATTAGGAAAGGTTTTTTCTATTATTGTAAGGGCAATATGATCATTCGGAGCATATGAAAGAGAGTCCATACAAACCTCATCATGGACTTGAACAACACTATATTTTGTCCTTAAATAGTAGAAAAAACCTTTTCATATCCTTTTTTATACCTAAATTTCATATACTTTGAAATCCAACTAACTTGCTATGGATACGCTTCCAGTGCGGAGTATTTTAAATTTGTTAGTTCAAGAGTAATAGGCTTTACTTCACCTAAATAAGATCAATCAATTCGCTTATCAGTATAAGTCCTTCCATTGTTAAAGCAAAACTCAAGCACACGACCATTAAGTTGTCTTTTAAACCAGTGTTTCGTATCAAATTCAGGTCGTGTTAGTGGGTGACGTGCGAATCACGCGATAATTACAGTTTTGCTCGCTGTGCATAGAACCTTCTCAAAACCTATGACGACTAACGCTAGGTATCTCTTGAACAGTTAACGATATCTGAGTCCCTTCACGAGATAGTCCTTCAAGAGTAACCAAAACTACGTGAAGATACTGCTTAAAAAGTTAGTGATAGGGAATCTCGCTACGCCTTTGTGACTTATTGGTATTGCATATAGGCAGAACTCGAAGATTTATAGCAAGCCGTATAAAAAAATGCCTCAGAACTTATGGTTATCCCATCAGATAGGTCATCAACGCCTATGGCACGCGGATAGAAAAGACCGTGAGAACTTATAAGTTATCGCATAGAACAGACTGTGAGAACTTACAGCTATTGGCACAGGATAGGCCTTGATAACGTATAAGTATGTTCATGAAACACCCCTTTAGCTTATATGGATATTCTATCGGACAAGCCATGAAGACTTGTGGGCACCTTGATAAAATGGGCAATGTAAATTGATAGATGCCCCATAGAATATCCCGTGAGGTATTAGAAGTACTTGCATAAATTTGCCATTGAAGATTTATAGGCACCGGTGTTGGATAGATCTTTAGGATTTATATGTATGCTCATAGTATAGCCCTTAAGCTCAGATGGGTACCTCATACATTGGTCTTGAAGATTTATGGGTGCCTACATGGAAGAGACCTTGGAGTCTTATAGATACCACTATACAAACTGCCATAAGGGCTGATATATATTTCCACAGAAAAGGCGATGATGACTTATAATATCCCATAGCATAACATTAAGGACTTATAAATACTTCATATAATAGTGCTTCAGGATTTATAGCTATCTGCATAGATTAGGCCTTGAAGACTTATGGACACTCCACAATAAAGGCGACACCAATTGGTTTGTACTTTCATAAGATAAACCATGAAGATTCATGCGTACCCCATAGGAAGGCTCCTGAAGACTTACAATCACTCCATAGAATGGTTCATGACTATTGATCGTATCTCTATTGGATTGATGTTGAGATTTCAAGAGTATTTCGTGAGAGACGTAATGAGAACTTATGGGTGCCTTCTTAGGACTTGCCTTCAGGATCTTTTAATGTACACCAGGTAATCCTAGGAAACTATGAAACAGCTCATATGAAAAGTATTAATGACCGATTCTAGCTTCCGTGAGCCGGTCCTATCACACACCTAATGGATACATGTGGGTTAGAGGCACCTTCGAAGTAGCAATACAAATCTAAGAAATGAAATGATCAGTGGTTCAGAGTACGATAAGAATCTCGGCAGTACAGTGTAAACCCTGGGAGTACGATGAAAATCCCGAGAGTACAATGGAAATCTCGGGAGTACAATGGGAATCCCGAGAGTACAATGAAAATCTCAGGAGTACATTGAGAATTCCGGGAGTACGATGGGCAAGACGATGGGAATCCCGGGAGTACGAAATCCGCCGTTTCCCCCTTGAGAAACACTGTCTGAAAGCAGTGGCCAACAATCCTACATCTTTTGGTCAATCGCAAAATTAAGAAATAAAAGAGTTATGTTAATAAAAACAGTAAATTAAAGAAAGTTGGATCTTCTGATTTATTGTTTTATAGTTTTCTGTTATTTTTAGATACAATGAGGAACCCGCAAGTATGGTGGAAATTCCGGAAACGTTTTGGAGAATCCTTTAGGAATCCTGGAAATCCCATGGGAATCTCGAGAATCCCGTGGGAATCCAGGGAATCCCGTGAGAATCCAGGGAATCCCGGGAATCCCGTGGGAATCCAGGGAATCCCGTGGGAATCCTGGGAATCCTATGGGAATCCTGGGAATCCTGGGAATCTTGGGAATCCCGGGAATCCGGAATCCGCCATTTCCGCCTTGGTGAAATGTCTTAAAGAAAAATGTCGAAAAAATATATTGATGTGAAAAATAATCAAAAAGTTTTGTAGAAAATAGTGACTATAGAAAGCTGATTTATTGTGTACGTTAATACTAACATATGGTAATAGAAACAAAACATAAGTCAGAAGATAAAAAAGAAAAAATTAAAAAATATTATTTTTCTCATTTTTCAACCGTAAATGATAAACAATCATAAATACGAGGAACAGATTTTTTGTTTATTTTTTTCTTATTTTTTAACTTTTTCAGGAAATTCACGAGCTTTAATATTTTCTTTCTCTGGAGGTTGATTATGATCATCAATTATTTTAGTTAATTTGCTATTGAAATCTATAGAAACTTTAGAAGAACACCCGTTAAATGTAAATTTCTATTATTTAGTAGTAATTGTTGTTTTTTTTTGATTTGAACATATATATTCATTTGTTATTAGCAAATGTTTTTCTTTTTTGTCAATTAATAAATGAAATAGTTGGTGATTTTAGTTGAATTTATTCTGTTGAAGATGCGGTAGCTGTAGCCATAGTAGTAAGACTTTAGTTATATAATTATTGTTTGCCGTTTTTGTTCATTTTATCTGCATCAAGTATTAATCATCACTGTTACTAGTGCTGGAAAATTTAGACTAGTAGAAATTATAGGAAAAGAAAACATGAATTATTTGTGTTGCGAGTGAATGACCATTTATTGGAGGTATCACTATTTCCTTTATTTCGAATTTTGACATTTTTTTCATGCTAAAATTTATTTTTCGACTTTTTTCCTTTTCTATATTTTTTTTTCGACATATTTTCTTTCGATCTTTCTACTGCACAAACTTGTATTTGGTGTATATATTCTTAGAGAATACCTCAAAAATAGTGCATTTATCTTATTGCATTGGCCACATGTACTTATTGAAGATGAACAAGATTCAGTATGATAATTGATAAACAAAGTTAAATTAAATGTTTAAAATGAAAAAATTATCAAAACAAGATTTATCACCATCGAAAACTTATCCAAATTGGTTATTTATGAATATATTAAAACAAACGAAAAAAACTATCCGAACAACAAAAACATAGTCACATTTCAATTAATCATCTTTTAATTGTTTTACAAGCAGATTTAAGTACAAAATTAAGTTTTGTTTATGTTGATTTACGTAAAAAATTAATAGAAGAAATTATTAAACGAATAATACAAAATGAAAATGTTACTTTTTTCAAAACTGAACAAGTATTTATTATCAGAAAGAAGATTTTAATAAAAATTTATTTCAATAATTTGTCTTTCTAGACATATCAAGCATTAAAAAAAAAATGATTTCGATTTAGTTGCAAATGCTGAAGTAGAAAAATTAGATCTTGTTCTTTTATGTCATAAAGAAATTTATCATTGAATTCAAGTTGTTTTTTTTTATTATAATGAACAAAAATGATTTGGTTGTAATCCAAGTATTAGTAAGTGCTTTATTTTATTATTCAGTTTTTAAATATAAATCGTTTTCTTTTTTATAACAGTATTGAAAAAAAAAGATTATTGAAAATTTGAAACAACATATTTTTTATCAAGATGTTTAATACATTACTATAGTGCTTAATTGCAGATATGGAAGCATTAATTGGTAAGATCTATTATATTATTTTTCTTTTATTCTTTTTAAAGATTAAAGTTTTAGTACACAGAAGTACATTCCATATAGTAGAAATTAATTAAACAAATCGAAGTTTATTTAATGTTACTTTTCTGACATTTTTTTTTACAACTCTGATAGTTTTTCGAAGAAAAATAATTAGTGAATGCTTGAATCAAGGTTTTTGTGGCTTCTACTTTCAATGATAAAAATCGAAACTAAAAGTCGTCGAGGACAAAGCCTCTCGTAGGAAGAGAAGAGAGCGTCGAACGACATAACGTATTCAGATCTCTTGTGAAATCAAATGAAATATATAATGAGAAGATAGTAATAATGAAAATAAATAATCCAGCGGCATTAAAAAGTTTCTTACCAAACTGCAAAATAACTAAGAAAGATCTTTTTTCATATGATTGAAAAAATTTGGAACATAACTGTCGTCTATGAGAGATTTTTCACTTGTTGATAAGTTTTTCCCTTGAATATCACTGTTATGATTTCAAACTCTGTAATTTAGATTAGAATAATAGTAGTTAGCAAACGATAATAAATCAACTTTAATTTCTCTATGTTTATACATACAATCTATCATAGAAAATTTATTTTTCTCAATTCGATAGAATAGTAAATTAAATGATGATTAATACTTTAGCTACAACAATTCATAGTAGTAATCTCTTAAATTGATTTTGAAAGACAGCGAATGTTCAAATGGTGATGTTATTTTGTTTTTTATTGATAGAAAAGTAAAAGATAGATATTTATCCAATGTTTTTAAAAAAATTTTCAATCTTGATGAAATATTTTTAGTTGCAACGAATGCAGTAAATTTATGTGATTGATATTACTTAGGGTATACCAAAAGTTCTGATCACAGTTTTTAAAATTTAATAAAGCAATAAATATTGAATATTTTACTAAGGCAGTATATAGTATAACGTCTCGTCTTTAATAATATATAGAGCAACTCTCTCTTAGACTTAGTTCTAACATCCTTTCAGACTAAACCTATAGTATTTATAGCCAAGAAAAGATCATGCCAACATAAAACCACAATACAGAAACGAAGAGACATTCGTTATTTTATTTTATTAAATGCTCAAAATAATCACCATTATTTTCGATACAAAGTTTCATTCTTTCTAACAGTTTATCGAAAGTCTTTTTAAACTCGTTTATTGGAATATTCTTCACTATGGTGGAAACCTCTTGAGCTAATGATTCTTCGTTTGTGTGATCCGTCAACTTGTTCTTGATATAATCATTTAGCCAAAAGTCACACGGTGCGAGATCTGGTGAATATGGTGGATGTGGAATGATTTCGATTCCTTCCTCCATTAAATAATCAATAAAATCTGGATGAGTATGAGGAGGACCATTATCATGAAGCATTTTATATGTAGTACGTGATGACTTTTCCTTTTTTCTTATTTCATTGATAACAGGTATAAGACAATTATCAATATAGTAGTCATGATCGATTGTCTTGCCCTTATCTACTTTGTGTATGAGAAGAGAACCAGTGGATTTGAAGAAGAAGCAAAATAGTGTTCTAGGTTCAAATCTATTCCGACGAACAATGGTTCTTGGTAGTTCATTTTCGCCAACCCAAGTAGCATTGCTTGACTTTCGACCAATCTGCCTGTGATAAATCCATGTCTCATCACCAGTAATAACATCACATAAATGCCATGTTCCATTTCTAAATTTCTCTAAATTTTGACGACAAATTCTAAGTCGTTTTTGTTTTTGTTCGTCAGTAAGTTGATGAGCAACCCAACGTGATGTAACTTTTCTCATCTTTAGACGATCATGAATAATTCGTTCTATTGTACCACGTGATAGATCAGTCTCACCCATAATATCATCATAAGTTGAGTGTGGATCATCTTCGATAACTTGTCGAACGCGTTCAACATTTTCATCTGTAAGTATCGAAATCGGACGACCAGATCGAGGATCATCAGTGACATCGTCTCTTCCTTCACGAAAACGTTTCGCCCATCTTCTGACTGTTGGATATGATGGAGCATCAGGTCCCAATGCCTCTGTAAGTTCGTCAAAGATTGTTTTTGAATCTATTCCCAAAATAGCTCGAATTTTGATATAATATCGATTGAATTCATCAGTCATGTTTAATGTCTTCTTTTAAGATTGAAATCAAATTCTATTACGATTTTAAGTCGAGTACGGTACAAATGAACTAACAGCGAACGACCTCTCATTTATATATACTATCGAAATGTAATATTCTAGAACATGACGTCATAAAACGTGACGAGAGAGTGACCCATAGAAAGTTCCAGAATGTACCTGACCATTGAACAAGAATTAATAATATTTGCATTGTCTGTAAAATTATAGATTTAGTCTGAAAGGATGTTAGAACTAAGTCTAAGAGAGAGTTGCTCTATACCCATGTAACCATTTTTATGGCTTGTGACGCGTTTCTGAGCGT